AGCGCCGGGCTCAGAATGCTCAGCAGGTGGAAGTTACCCAGGTAATTGACCTGCCACTCCTCATTCAAGCCATCTGCTGTCAGTTGTCCCCGGCTGGAGGCAGGCAAGGCGGCGCTAGCGCACAAGATGACCATGTCGAGACGTCGGGGGGGATAGTTGTCGATCCACTTGGTCGCAAAGGTCCGGATGGAATGTAAGGAGGAGAGGTCGACTTGTTCGGCGAAGATGAGTTGGTTGCCTGTTGACTTGCGCAGGTCTTCGATGTAATCGATCAGGAAGATGTCAGAGGGGGAGTGGTGGGTGAGGAGGATGATCTGGGCGCCGCGTAATGCAAGCTCATGGGCGACGCTGGCGCCAATGCCTGATGTCCCTCCCTAGAGCATTGTATCAGTTAGAATACTGGATGGAAGGGAAGCGATCATGGTAAATTCACAGTTATCATGATAATTTTCGAGTGCATCACCCGCTCTGAGCCATTCCGAGCTCCTCCAAAGTAGTACTTGAGGGCAGCGACGAGCAGCACCCATGGCGCAATCTTGAGCACTGTGTAGGCATATGGAATCGAGTCTATACCCTCCCTGATCCCCTGAACAATAATGGGGATGGGCATTGTGTAACCCGGTAGAAAATGAGCGAATGGAAAATAAAAACCAACAAAATGAAGGAGTGAAAGAGTGAACAGGCTCAGGAATGCAATCCCGCTGAAACACTAAAAACAGCAGCCGGAGCTGCGTCAGAAGTCAGATAGCGGCCGATCTCCCGCCACCACCGCCAACATCTCAGATTACCAACGTTTTCCCCTCACGAGTCACAGCACCATTTCAATGACACCAACCTCCTGACATAGTATGTCCCACAACGACGATGAGGATTACTTTCTTCCCCTGGAAGACCAGCGCATCTTCGGCGCCGGAATCCGTCGCAAGCGCGTGCAGTTCGTCCGCTCCTCAGAACATGAACTTAACACTACGACCACAACAACCACAACCACCACCACAACCCCATCCACAACCTCCGGCTTAAGTCCCGCCGACAAATACCTTTCAATCGTCCTACCAAAAGAAAAACCACCCACCCGAACAACTGATCCCGCCACGCGCAACGAAACAGCTTCCGCGCCGCCCTCGCCCGAAGCCGTACCCGCTCCGGTCCAACGGTGCGAGGTATGCAATCTCCCGCTTGACGGGTCGACAGCAGGTACGGATGAGAAAGGGTTTGCTCGGCCACACGAAGCATCGCTCGCGCATCAGCTGTGTCTATCTCACTCGCATCCACCGTCTCATCTCGACCGCACGCGTCACGGACTCCGGTATTTGTCCGCTTATGGCTGGGATCCGGATAGTAGACTGGGTCTTGGGGCTCCTGGGCGTGAGGGAATCAGGGAACCCCTCAAGGGGAGATTGAAGGTTGATACTGTGGGGCTGGGAGCTGAGGTTGAGCCGAGTGCGAAGGGGAAGAAGAGGGTTGCTGCTGCTGCTGCTGCTCCGTCCAAGGTGCAGAGGTTGAATGCGAAGCAGGTACGAAAGGGCCATTTTGATGCGAAGAGGAGAGGGGAGAAGTTGCGGGAGATGTTCTATCAGAATGATGATGTGCAACGGTACCTGAGTGGAGGTGCATAGGTTGGTTTGGGATATTTGATAGAACGGGGGTTCGTGCTTTTTTTTTTTTTTTTTTTATGCGGATAGAATCTGATTTCTACTATGTGATACCCGATTGATGATTAGAATTAGCGCAGATAGTACATTACACGGCTGCTTACTTTGGAAAGCATTATCATACAAGACAGCTGAAGACGAAGATCAAGGTATGTTCATTCAGCGCCAGAAACACAGTATGAGATGGTATCACAGCAGCGCTAAATGGGATGGAAAGGAGAATGGCAATCGCAGTTATCAGGTCTTTCAGGAAAAGCTCCTGAGAAACACTACCGGAAGAAGTGCAATCTCTTCTTTTCCTTCTCTTTCTTTTCCTTATGAGGCTTGGAGCTGGCTGACGGCGTTCCGCTGGGGGCCTTCTGCGCGTTTGGTCCCAGTGACATGGCATGCATAGCGGCTGTAGGCACTGGAGGGTTGAGGTTGGGAGGTGGTGCTTTCTTGGCTGCAGGCTGTTGTTGCACCGGTGCAGGCGGAGGAGGATCTTTCTCAAACAGATGAGCAGGCGCTGTGGGTTTGGGCCGTTCTGCAGGAATGTCTAGGCGTCTTCGGTCTGCACTCAGATCGCTGACTTGCCGTAAGAACAAGCTTGGCGTTAGCATGTGGGATGTGGCCAAGTATACGTCTTTCCCAAACAACTGCGATGCTTCATAGCAGGCGCGCGACTCCCCATATGTAGCTCCGCCAGCCATAAACAAAATGATTCGTTGCCGTGGCTGCTCGGCAGAACCGCGGGTCCTCGCCCACGTTGGTTTGGCGCTTCGCAGAGACGCTTGCGCCAGAGCATCCTGCTGTGCCATGCCATCTGCTGTGGTATGAGGTCGGGTGAAGGGGAACAGTGCAGGATCCAATGTGCCCCGAACCTGTTCTTCTAGCAGCAACTTGACATTCAGCTCATATCGAGAAAGGCTGGCTTCGTCCATCTCGGTGGCAGCCGGAGCTTTCCTGGGGAATAACGGTTGAACAGGTTGCTTTTCGTCCTTCAGTGGCTTCTCCACCCTGATTCCAAGTAGATCAAGATTGGAAATAACTTCTCCGTCCTGCGGTGTTAGTTGGGCGTGTGCGATGAGCTTCCGGATGTCGCCTGCCAAGATACCTCCCCTATACATGATGTAGAGGAGCAAGAGTCTCAGTCTGTCCGGGCGCACAACCGCATCGTCATCGAGGAGCTGAACAAGCTGTGCAGCCAGGTTCTTTGCTTTCTTATAGTTTTCGTCTAGACCAGTCGCAAGGCATTGCTCAACTGAACTGACTTCCAAGAGCTTATGGTCTTGAAAGAATTTCATGCACTCTTCTGCCATATTAAGATGAAGTGTGTATGCATCTCGACCTTTCTGGAACTCCGTTAAGCCCGCGAGCATGTCCTTGATCGTGTTCACGTTGGCTTTGTCATTACTATAGTATGAGGTCAGCAACAGGCCAATTCCTCCAGCTCATAACTCAGGAAGAAATTCAGACGTCACTTACTCTTCCGCAAACTGAGGATGGGCCTCCCTAAATTTCGCAAAGTCTCGACCCAGCTTCTCCAGCACATCTTTCATGTGCTGATGCCGATATTCAACCCAAACATTGTCCTCTTCATTGATCTCCATGTCCTTTTTCTCCCCGCCGCCACTGCCAGTGTTGATAACAGTGGTGTAGGTGACCTTATCCCCGTCTTTGATGGGTAGCAAATCATGCACCATTGATTGGTAGGTAAATTCGTGGATGAGGGGGGCAACCATATCCATGGAGCGGTCTGCCAGCAAAAGAACACCGCGAGGTCTCGGCGAAGGAGGAGGAAAGTCTCTCTGAGATTGAGCGAACTGGTCCAATTCGTTCTGAATGAATCGAGCGAGGTGGGAACACAAGACGCTGGCTTCGTGGGTAGGGGTTCTAGGCCGGTAGTATCGGATTATCGGGTACTCTCCTAAACTCACACACAGTGATACAACCTCAACAAAAGTCAGTGTAGTGCTCACAAAGATTCAAGATGCCGAGTCACCTTCTGCGCCAGATTTTGCAAGTGTTCTCGAATCAGGTGATTGCAGCCAGGGTGGAACAGAACGGGAAAGCTCCAAGGATCTCGGAAGGTGACCAGACGCGATTCTCTTGGAAAGAAGTCTATGTTCATGACCCGGAAATCGGCGATCTGCTCGCGCGCCATCTGAGACCTGTCCAGCCTGGCGCGCTGCTGTGGATCGAGGACTGCAGACAATGTCAGATTACACTGTCGAGTCTCCGATCAGAACAAATGACTGACCTGACGTCCAGACCAACCATGCTCGCCTGTATCTTTTCCGTTCAAAATCGGCCATTAGGCAGTCGACGATATGTGTTTGAGGTGACAGGATGTACAGCGCATCCATGTCGGGATTGGGTGGTCGCCTATGCTCGATCTGCTCGACATCTTGAGGAAAGGACTATTAGCCGATGCGAATTCGAGTTGAAGCGCCGTGTATAGGCTTACTGGTGACATTGAGGTTGAGAATATCGTCATCATTGGTCGCGTTGTATAACAACTTCCTGCTAGTCTCGTCCACAACCAAGACTTTCCACTGTAAGCGGCAACCGTCAGCTCCGTCATACATTCTAGTATACTGTGGAGAGGGGCTAATCGCACTTCATTGCCTCCGGCATGGCGGATTGTGTTAAGGATAACTGGAATAGCAAACAGTCAGTAACAGAAAGACACGTACTTGACCTTAATGACATAGATTATGTGGTACTGACCATCGCGCTGGATGTTGATAATTGAAGAGCTCATCCTGGCTGGCTGGCAGCCTTAGCTGTGCACTGGGGCTGGCGGTTGCCGGCTCTAGGCGTAGTAATTGCAGCTTGCTGCGACAATCTGGATTGTCAGGAGGGAATTGAAACAAGTGACAATCACACGAGGAACAATAGAAGCCAAAGTCAAATGAATTAATCAAAAGCGAAGCCTATCTTTCTGAAACGTATCAGTTGACTTCAGGAACCCCCTCAGTGTCCCCACTATCCGTCATCGCTCTAAAGCGGCAAGCTTGGAATTGCTGGTGTGAAACCCGCGGTGGATCGCCGATGCGGTGTGGCGGTGGGTTCTTGCGACTGGAGTTTTGGACAGTATCAAATTATTATCTTCTTCTCGATAAGCCCATCCGATAAAAAAAGATGTCGTTACAAATATTCTCATAGTTTGCTTGTGATCAGTGCTACCATACCCTTGTCTCATAACCCATTGAAGATATTTTGCCTACTGTTCTTCCAATCCAACTCCTATATGTACGATCCGCGACGATTCAGGTGCGACGCTACCTAGCTTCTCAGCAAGTCCCTGAACTTTGATTTCGAACAACTTCTGTCGCCTCTAATATCTTTCGAGCGGCTCAAGGAATGCAGTCATGGACCAGCAAAGGCAGCCGCTGCCTTTTCTGTGCCTTGCGGCCTGTATTTCGTCCCGTGCAGCGATCCTTCTCGACGAGCCCCATCTTGGAGAAGGCAAGAAAGTCTCAGAAAGCTAAGCAAGAAAAAGCCGAGGCAGTAGAGAAATCTCTAAAGAAAAGCGTAACAGATCCTAACATATACCTTCATTTGTACTCTTTCATTTGTTGACAAAGGTTGCTGATTCGTTTGTTTGCCGTACAGTCTTCGAAGAAGAGGTCACTGGCCCGTAGACCTCTGAGTCAACCCTTTGTCATTCGCGACTTCGCCTCCATCGTCGAGACCGAGCTAGGAGAATACAAACAGAGCTTAAAAGAGTCATCCGATCCAGCCTTGGCAGGATGGGAAAGATTCGAGCGCTATGTACTGAATGCCTGCAAGCTGGAAGACCGGTCGGGCCAGAAAGCTTTTGGCCCTCTACGCCATGTCAAAACCACACTTCAGAAAGCCTATCTCAGCTCCGGTATCTCGGGTCTGAGGAGTGAGCTGAGGTATCTTATGCACGCCGAAGAGATTACTGAAAAGTATTCTGCTCCCCGTCTGGAACAGCAAAAGAAGATTGCGGATTTGCGCTATCCGGCAGAATGGTACCCTCAAGCCCGAGCGCTGCAACGGACAATCCACCTGCATGTTGGCCCGACGAATTCTGGGAAGACTTATCATGCGTTACAACGGCTTCAAGCTTCCAAAAGTGGCTTCTACGCTGGGCCGCTTAGACTCCTTGCGCAAGAGGTGTATCATCGATTTCAAGCGAGCGGGATCCCCTGTAGCCTTGTGACCGGGGATGATGTTAAAATACCGGAAGGGCAAACTCCGACCATTGTCAGCAACACAGTTGAAATGGTCAATCTAGGACAGCCGTATGACGTTGGAGTCATCGATGAGATTCAGATGCTCGCAGACCCTAAACGTGGCTGGGCGTGGACTCGTGCTGTCCTTGGTGCGCGGGCCAAGGAACTTCACCTTTGTGGCGAAACAAGAGTCGTGCCCTTGGTTCGAGAGCTTGCCGCTCTCACAGGTGACAGACTCGAGATCCATCGGTACAAACGATTAAACCCACTCAAAGTCATGGATCAGAGTATTCGAGGCGATTTGAAGAATCTTCAGAAAGGAGATTGCCTAGTTGCTTTCTCCCGCGTCGGAATCCACGCACTGAAAGCAGATATTGAGAAAGTTACAGGCAGAAGGGCGGCGATTGTGTACGGGAGCTTGCCAGCAGAGATTCGTACGCAGCAGGCCAAACTCTTCAATGACCCCGACAACGATTACGATTTCCTGGTTGCGAGTGATGCTATTGGCATGGGGCTCAACTTGTAAGCAATGATTTGCACACTATTGTATTGGACTTTGCTAACCACGATACAGGAGTATCAAGCGCATTATCTTCGAGACCTTAGTTAAAAGGGTCCCGGGGGGATTAGTGAGGCTGTCGGTTCCCGAGATCAAGCAAATTGGAGGTCGGGCTGGCCGTTATCGCCCGGCTGCGCAGCAAGACAAGAAAGATAACAACGACGCTGACTCGAATATTGGCTTGGTGACAGCCCTAGAAGAAGTCGATTTGCCGTATATTCGCGAGGCAATGGACACTGAACCACCACCGCTTACCGCTGCCGGCATTTTCCCTCCCGATCCTGTGTTCCAAAAGTTTTCCGCCTATTTCCCGCGGGATGTTCCTTTTGAGTACCTTATCAAGCGCCTGCTGGAAGTCTGTGAAGTCAATCCTCTGTTTTTCCTGTGTGACCCTCGCGGTCAACTCGACAATGCGGAAGTTATAGACAGTGTGGTTGGCCTGCCTATAGAAGATCAAGTGACTTTTATGGCTGCGCCCATGTACACCCGGGACAGAAAATCACGCAGCGTTGCTTGCGCATTCGCCGAATGTGTTGCAGAGCATTCAGGTGGCGGACTGCTCGATATCCCTGACTTGAATCTGGAAATCCTCGAGGAACCGGTGTCTGGAAACAAGGACTATCTGCATGAGCTAGAAGGACTACACAGATCGGTCATCTTATATTCTTGGTTAAGCTACCGATTTGGGGGTATATTCACGGATCGCACCCTCGCAGCTCATGTCAAGGAGATGGTGGAAGAGAGAATGGTCAGGGCGCTTACTGAATTCTCTGCCAACAAGAAGCTGAGGAAAGATGCATCACTGCGCCGACAGATTGCTTTGCAGAAACAGATCGCAGAGCAGAAACGGGTCCTTGCTGAAGCAAACATTGAAGGATTCGAAGACGGAGTGGACGGAGAACGTGTCCCAGTTGATGTCTCTGCGGAGGATGGTTCTCTGGAGCAAGAGGGTCAAGAGAGTTATGATCCATTTGGAGACGGCCAGGAAGGGGACACAATTCCTGTTGATGTATCTGCTGAAGATAGTCCTCTAGAGAGAGCAGCCCCTGCTGCGCGTGGGGTTTGAAGGACCCATTCATCATTCATAGGTAGGCACACTCAGGCGACTTCGGTCGCTGCGGTTGACCTACATGGCATATGCGGAAGCATGTACGACAAGCTTGAAGTCTCAACTATACACTAGATTTAATGTACATTATCATTTTTATATAGAGCCCAAATATGAGTCGCTGCTCCGCCGTTCATGATCCTAGTGATACATATATTTCTAAAAGACGACTAGAACTTTCCGTAGTTGCATTCAAATATCTTGAAAAGCAGCGGGTGCATTGCAATAATTTCGATCTGTACACTGTCCCATATGTTTAGGTCTCTTACGCACATGCATAGGGGGTTACGAAAGTAGGATGTAAACAGAATCTCAAGTGGTATTGTGGTTCTCGACCAGTTGGTTGCCAATAATTCGCTGTGGCTTATCTTATCGGTGGCGAGAACTCCGAACACGCCACAACGATTTTCCGCGACGGTGAGCTTGCTCCAATCTTTAAATTGTCGCAGAGGACATCAAGAAGGCAGCTTTGTTGCCAGAGGGTGTTTGGCGCTCTCTTGCACGTGAGACGCTATCAATATTATATCTTGTTCATTCAATATTTCTTTTCACGAGTTCAGATTTCGCGTTTGGTGATTTCGCTCTCCATTGCAGGTTATGGACGACCTCGAGTCACTGGAGCTCTTTTCGCTCGTTTCGCGAATTACGAGTGAGCTCCAGAATCACTTAGGCGTCAGTGACAAGACACTCGCTGAGTTTGTGATCGATCAGCATCTATCATGTGGTTCGTTCGACGAGTTCAAGGGGAAGTTGGAGGCGATGGGTGCGGAGTTCCCGCAGAGTTTGATGGAGAGTATCGATCGCCTGGTTCTTACGATGCACCCAAAATACAAGTCGAAGAAAGCAAATGCGACACAGGAGAAGACGGAGGCGGATGGGGATATGGATGTCCTTGATGCTCTGGAGAAGAAGGCCCGGGTGTTCAAGGGGCTTGCTGTTCCTGACAAGCAACCACAATGGGATGAAGACGACCACATTCGAAGCCAGGATGTCGATGAGCATGACGCGAAGGCTGGAGCTATGGACGACACGTTTGCAATGCTAGAAGGACTAGCAGGAAAGGCTCGGGAAGATAAGGGTCGGTCGACACGAGAGGAGCGGACGAGCAGGAAGCGAAGCAGAAGCCCGGATTACGATGACTATGGTCGGGGCCGTAGGCACGAAGCCAAATACCGTTCACGGTCGCGATCGCGCAGCCCTGACTACAGTAAAAGACATGACGCGGTGGACGAATTTGGTCGGTCAACGAGCAAATACGGTGTCAGGGACGACACGTATCGTAACGGGCGCAGCGAGCGACGGAGGCGCCGTGATCGGGACGAAGATGACGACTATTTCCGCAAGCCTCCTCCAGTCGAATTGGACGATCAGCCCATCCTCTACAAGGTTTATGACGGGCGTGTAACTGGAGTCAAAGACTTTGGTGCCTTTGTGAATCTCTTGGGGGTAAAGGGCAAAGTCGACGGTTTGGTACACGTTTCTGCAATGCAGGAAGGGGCACGGGTTAATCATCCCTCTGACTTGGTGTCCAGGGGACAGCCGGTCAAGGTCAAAGTCATCAGTATACAGGGTTCGCGCATTGGTCTCTCTATGAAGGAAGTGGACCAAGTTACTGGCCTTGATCTCGTCCCTCAGAAGCGTCTCGCATCGGGTGCCAACATGGAGCGCCTCGAAGGTGTTTCGGGCAAGGACAGATACGGAAATTTGAGTTCAGAAGTGCCAGTCATAGAGGATTCAAATGGGAAGCCGATGAGAAATCGGAAACGATTGACGTCTCCTGAAAGATGGGAAATTAAACAACTCATTGCATCCGGTGCTGTTTCTGCAGCCGACTATCCTGATCTTGACGAAGAGTACCATGCCACGTTGACCGGAGAGGGTACATTCGAGGAAGAAGAAGATATTGATATTGAGGTTCGAGACGAAGAACCTCCCTTCCTGGCTGGCCAGACGAAGATGTCCCTGGAGCTTTCTCCCATCAGAGTCGTCAAGGCCCCCGACGGCTCTCTTAACCGCGCTGCAATGGCAGGTACCAACTTGGCCAAGGAACGGAGAGAACTGCGTCAGCAAGAGGCTCAAGATAAGGCTGCAGAACAAGCGGCCGAGGTTGACCTCAGCGCACAATGGCAAGATCCTATGGCTGCGCCAGACCAGCGGAAATTCGCAGCTGATCTACGGAGCGCTCAATCTAAGCCTGACGATGCGGTGCCCGAGTGGAAAAGAGTCACTATGGGCAAGAATCAGTCCTTTGGCAAGAGAACGAATATGTCAATTAAGCAGCAGCGGGAGAGTCTCCCAGTTTTCAAGTTCCGTCAACAGCTACTCGACGCTGTTCGCGATAACCAATTGTTGATTGTTGTCGGAGACACTGGGTCAGGAAAAACAACTCAAGTGACACAGTACCTGGCGGAGGCTGGGTACGCGAACAACGGCATGATTGGATGCACACAACCGCGACGTGTGGCGGCCATGTCTGTCGCCAAACGTGTGGCGGAGGAAGTCGGCTGCAGGCTGGGTGCAGAGGTCGGGTACACGATTCGTTTCGAAGACTGCACGAGTCCGGAAACGAAGATCAAGTACATGACCGACGGAATGCTCCAAAGAGAGGTCTTACTCGATCCTGATCTGAAGAGATACTCTGTGATCATGTTGGACGAAGCCCACGAACGGACGATCGCCACTGACGTTCTTTTCGGGCTACTGAAGAAGACGATCAAAAGACGGCCCGACCTCAGACTCATCGTTACTTCAGCCACTCTGGATGCCGAAAAGTTCTCCGAATACTTCAACAAGTGTCCGATTTTCTCGATTCCCGGTCGTACCTACCCCGTCGAGATCATGTATTCGAAAGAGCCCGAGCCTGATTACTTGGATGCGGCTCTCATCACTGTCATGCAGATTCATTTGACAGAACCAGCTGGAGATATTCTTCTGTTTTTGACGGGACAGGAGGAGATTGACACCGCGTGTGAGATTTTGTATGAACGAATGAAAGCCTTAGGCAAGGGTGTCCCTGAGTTGATCATTCTTCCGGTCTATTCTGCCCTTCCTAGTGAGATGCAGAGCAGAATCTTTGAACCAGCACCTCCCGGCGGAAGGAAAGTGGTCATTGCGACAAACATTGCCGAAACATCTATTACGATCGATAATATTTATTATGTCATTGATCCGGGCTTCGTGAAGCAGAATGCCTACGATCCCAAACTTGGTATGGATTCTCTTGTGGTCACCCCGATTTCTCAGGCGCAAGCCAAACAACGAGCTGGCCGTGCGGGAAGAACTGGTCCAGGAAAGTGTTACCGTTTGTACACTGAAGCGGCTTATCAATCGGAAATGCTTCCAACGACAATCCCTGAAATCCAACGTCAAAACCTGTCGCATACTATTCTTATGCTCAAGGCAATGGGTATCAATGACTTGCTACACTTCGACTTCATGGACCCGCCGCCGACAAATACCATGCTTACAGCTTTGGAGGAGCTTTATGCGCTTTCGGCTCTGGATGACGAAGGTCTTTTGACCAGGCTGGGTCGTAAGATGGCCGACTTCCCTATGGAGCCGGCTCTCGCCAAGGTTCTTATTGCGTCTGTAGACATGGGATGCTCAGAAGAAATGCTGAGTATTGTTGCTATGCTCTCGATTCAGTCAGTTTTCTATCGACCGAAAGAGAAGCAGCAACAAGCAGACCAAAAGAAGGCCAAATTCCACGATCCACATGGTGATCATTTGACACTGCTCAATGTCTACAACGGCTGGAAAAACTCCAAATTCAATAATGCGTGGTGTTATGAGAACTTCATTCAGGCACGCCAAATACGCCGCGCACAAGATGTACGCCAGCAACTATTGGGCATCATGGAGCGATATCACCATAAGATCGTCTCATGCGGTAGGGACACGAAGAAAGTGCGGCAGGCGTTGTGTACTGGATTCTTCCGAAATGCAGCCCGGAAAGATCCTCAAGAGGGCTACAAGACTTTGGTTGAAGGAACACCGGTGTACATGCATCCCAGCTCGGCTCTGTTCGGCAAGCCGGCCGAGCATGTTATCTACCATACCCTGGTGCTTACCACGAAGGAATACATGCACTGCACTACCGCCATTGAGCCAAAATGGTTGGTCGAGGCAGCACCCACCTTCTTTAAGGTTGCGCCCACTGATCGCCTTTCGAAGCGCAAGAAGGCGGAGCGTATCCAACCCTTGCACAACCGCTTTGCAGGAGAGGATGATTGGCGTCTTTCTGCACAACGCCGCCAGGGAAGGGGTGGTGGAGGAGGTACTTGGGGTTAAAAGTCCCATGTTTCTATACACTGCGGTTGGATATATGTCATTTTACTATCAAGAATACCCCGTTCAATTGTACTTTTGTTGCATCATTGCTGCTTGTTCCTACAAAATGGGCATAGCATTCCATAGACGTACCTCCACGAATGAATTAAGATTTCAGAGTCAGACATATCAACATCGTAGCTTGAGGTCCTCTACGGAGTACGCAAAGTAAACCATCCATTTGTTGTTCTGGGAAATGAGAGAGCGGCAAAGAATTGTATACACACCGCCTTCCGTTTATGTAAAAAAATTTCCACTCCGTGAAGCATTTTAAAATCTGGAAGTTGCTGTTGTCTGCCGCCAATGAATAATAACAACGAGGTTCCTCTGTTCTCCATGCATCCAAGTCATTCCATCTACTCAAGATACGGGATGGCTCGTCCTTCTGGTCAGAAATAAGTTGGTGTGAAATCATCCCGGACTTTGATCACGATTCCGCAGCCGCCACCTTAACAACCAATCAGACGCCGCAAAACTCTGATAAAGATTGCTTCGAATCTTCGATTTTATTTCTTCATTACTGCGAAGACTGGCAAAACAGTATATGAAAAATGTCGCACGTTGACCATCAGTCTCCCCGGTCAAAGAGAAGAAAGATCGATCATGGAGATGAGACGGAAAATGTTGCGCCGATAACTTCTCATACGCAGCTTCGTTCCCTCCTGGCTTTTCAACAGAACGTTGCTGAATCCAAGCATGGTAAGTACTCAGGAACGCAGTTACTTGCTTTTAATTGTAGATATGGGTACTTACAAGAAGCACAGGCATCAGACAATTCAAGGACTTTCTCACATCCATCGGTCAGACCGAGAAGGAGGGTGAAAAGGCTAAGAAGTTTCGAATTCTAAAGGCCTATTGTGATACGCAAATCTCTCGTAATGGGGCCGGAGATGAGGCCATCTGCTTTCCTGACCTTATTCAAACATGGAGCTTTGCGGACAGCAGCAATAATGAGTCCCTGTTGACCGTTGTCCCGTCCGTGCTGGCTATTTTTCTCAAAACGATTTCCACTCAACTAGATCTTCGAGACTTCGGCTTGGCCTTGTGCAAGCATCTGATGCACAAAGATCAGCTGAGACTCTTTAATCGTGGTCTAACTGCACTTAAGACCAAGGAACATCTGATCTCGCCATGTCTTCGTCTTCTTACGGAGATTGTCAGTTTCGACGGCGGTGCGGTCGCCCGACATGTCTACATGGCACGGTACATCACATTCAAACGCCTCGATGTCTTTTTGACACCGAATAAGGCCCAACTAGAGGAGGCCGACGAATCTCACAAATCTACATTGCGAAGAAATGCGCAAAAATATGTTCTTGCAAATCTCAGAGTTCAACACGTGAATGCGAAGACCGATTTAGTCGAGCAACACAAGGTGATCAAAGCATTTCTGGAGTTTGTTAGGAAGGATCCACGAGATGTTGTTCTGGAAATCATCAAATCTATCGACAGGGATATCATTCAGGATACCGCTCTTCCGCGAAGCGCAAAAACAAAGTTCTTCAGTCGATGGGACCTCGAGCGACTTGTAACGCTGTACGGCTACGACCGCGAATCCGAGGAGCCAAACCCGGCTGGAATCTCCATTGCAGATGAGGTTCACAAAATCCTTATGAATATTTGTACAGATCCTGCTTTGGGCGTCTTGCTACCAGAAACAGGCTGGTACCCAAATGGAACTGACCCCGAGACCTTACCGACTGAGGACGACTCTTCCATTGAAATGGGATTGGACTCCGCTGTGTACGTGGATAAGTACAAGGGATCAGTGCCTGTCCGCAACAGCACTCTGTCTTATCTCATTCAAGCACTTCGTCCGGATATGGACCGCCTGCAGATCGAGTTATTGGTTGCCATCTTTAAGAAAGCGCCGGAACTTGTCGCCGATTACTTCACGAAGAAGACAATGTTCATTTCTGATCCAAAACCCACGTCCTCCTGGATGGCCGAGTCAGCTCTTCTCTTTTCAATTGTCAGCCTTCCAATTCCGCCAAATTGTGGTTGGAATGACAAGCTCCCTGCTATGCCGCCGCCTGTTTCGGTTGCCATCGAGAACATTCTTCCCCGTCCGCTTACCCGGAAGATCATGACTCGCTGCTTGAACCTCAACGCGGAGATTGTTACACTGTTCGCTGTTCGAATCTTGACAATCGCATTCAATAAGCTACGGGCTGCTTTGAAGATATTCAACGCCGACCACGGATCTAGCCAGCCATTTTGGACGCAAGCTGCGGGAAAACTAGTTGCAGAGTTTTGTCGTCGATGCCCGGTGGTCAAAGATGTTGTAACCTTGTTCAGAAGAACGAGCAAAGAGGACTTGCAGCAACAGGAGGCCGTTAGTGAGCTTCTGGCTTGCTACTACGAAATCGTCCCTGATGCAGCTTTTGACGAGAACTTTGACGTTTCCCTTGTTCTGGTTGATATTTTGGAACGGTTAGAGAGTTCCAATCTACAAGCAGAGGATGGCGAGTCACTTCTGAGTCAACTGCAAAACGTTCTTAAAATCGCACAGTTGTCGGCTTCCATGCGATGGTGGCAACAACCAGGTAAGCAGCCGCGGCAACCTCATTTCGAAGGTCCTACACTAACAGCACCCAGGATCTATGCAATATTCAGCCTTTACATCAATTCTCAAAGTGCTTATCAAAACCTCGGACAAAGAATCCTCTAAGGAAATTGAGAATCTGTTGACAACGGTTCTGAAAGAGAACTCGATCATCCCCAGTTCCCCAGCCTTCTCATCTCTCCGGTCTAGCTTCGATGCTACCGAGTCCGAAAGCATCGGTTATCAATTGGCCTTTTTCGATAATTGCGCTTGCAGAATTGCGAAGAAGCCAGTCCATTACGATGATTTACTCGCATCTCTGACTGAAGGCGAGAATCAACCGACTAGCCTTATCGTTGCTGCTATCACCGAACAATGGCCATTTGTTGCCAAGAATGGGAATGCAGCCGCAGAACTTGCTGTATGCACGTGGATTGCTAGGGTGTTCGGTAAATTGAAGCAGGCAGGAGACGACCCAAAGACTCTGAAGGCCGCTCGAGATAGCGTTTCACAAACAATCGTGAGCAAGCAACTTAAGTCAACGCTTAAGAAAGCCCTGAAAGACACTGATGAGACTACCGGTAAAGATGGCAGGTCTCAGGATGGAGTAAGTCGCTCGGAGCCCAATGGTCAGAAAGACAAAGCGGCGCAGGTGGATTTGAGAGAGATCTTTGGCACTCTGCCGACTGAAAGCAAAACTCATAATGAGCTCCACAAATGGGAGAAGGAGGAGCTCGAAATCGCGGTGGAACAGGGTCGCATCTCTGATTTGATGCTGTGCTTGTGTTCGGAACATGAGGAAATCCGGAGACAAGCATTTGCCAACCTGCATCGATTCATGGCGAAGCTTAGGGTATGTTTCTCACACAAATAATGAGGAATGACTAACAAGATCTCAGGAGTCCAAATATGCGGAATGGCGATCAGTGTACATCCTTACTGGCGAGCTGCTCGAAACCGTGAGACTGACGGGATTCGAAACTCCCGTACCGTGGATAGTCGGGGAATGTGCTACCTGCTGTCTCTCCGTGCTCACAAACCCAATGCACAAACTTTATGGCAAGGTCAATAAGTTCCTCCAGAAGGCACCATCTTGGGAGGTTGGAAAGATCCCGTCGTATTGGATTGACAAGATTTTGTTACATGAACCTGAGTTGGACGATGGTTACTTTGAGGAAACTAGTTGGCTACTGGATCTGCTTATCAAGGGCCTTCGCACTGAGAGGGTAAGCGGACTTCTCTTGTAAGCATGATACCGAGACTGACTCCTACAGGATATGGACATCTACCGTCGCGCAAATGTGTTCGAGCGTGTGCTCTCCTTCTATGACTCACCTAGTGTTGGGGTCTCTGCCAAAAGGAAGATTTTGCATCTCCTGTACCGGTCGACACAGGTCGGGGGCAGTACAACCTTAGTTACCAGGGCAGGCGTTGTCAGCTGGATTCAAACCCAGCTCCCGGTAGTGAATGCTAAAGAGGCTGCTACCTTTGCAGCCATGGCCGACAGCTTGCGTCTAACAGCGGACCAGGACCGAGTCACGAAATGGAGTGAAGGGGCAGTGGCTCAGGTTATTGAACATATTGCTGGATAGGTGTTCTTGGGTATTTTCTCAGGGGTACTTTATTGATCCCTCAGTTGCATCCCCTTGGGATTGTCTCGCAGGCTGTCTCGTTCAGCCTCGAATTGACGGGGTCCTCTGGTGTATTGTGAGCGATGCCATATGCTCATTTCTAGAAACAAACCGTTCATCATTCACTATTCCTGCATGTATATGTAGACACCTTACAATAATTATGCAGTTCTCCTGCTTGGCATAGTTTCGGCTTGATAATGTCTCGCTCGCATACTAGGCTGTACATCATGTGGTAAGATGGTTAAGTATCTTTTAAATAGCAAGTATAATAACTGAAAACCAGTCGACTCGATTCTTTACCCTAGCTTTAAGACATTTTGGAGTGGGGAGATTGCGCTGGCAAAGAGTGAGAGCTGAGCTGAGGCTGGTTGATATACGCTGGCCGCTTTTACCCCTTTGGGCAGTGCAGACTGGGACGAAACGTTTTGCGGCCGAACGACTTTCTCCATCCCGACCTCATCTTCTCCGCCCGCACCATCGATTGCTCTCTCTACCGTTCCCCTTGACTAAAGTCTTCCCGTTGAAATCGACAGTGTGATCATATTATCTACTGTCCAGGTTATTCTCAGACTTACCCTGTCGAAGCAATTCCAAAACAAAACCATCCTTGTTACCCCTCATCTCTTCCCAAGCACACTTTGATCCTTCACCGATTTCACCTCCGCCTGCCGCCTTGCCACTGGCAAGTGGCCTCGCTTTTCATTTGACCTTTTATCCTTCGAAACCACCTTTCAGTCGATTGAGAACGTCTTCACTCAGAGATCTATCCTTGGGTCACAAGATTTATTCCTGTCGGCGACGCTCGTGCCTCTCGAAGGTGTGAACCAATGAGCACGCGGTAACAATCTGATCATCATATCACCCACACACTGCCATCCTTATGGCGCGACGTTACCAGATCGATGAGCTGCTATGGCTGCGCTCATCGCCTCTGGTCACTAAGCCTACAAATCTACCACCGGTAGAAGAATGGATGGGGTAAGAAAAATATCGCTCGCTTCCAGTGACCATGCTTATCTCGCTCGCTCTCATGATACTGACGATTCTACTCCTTATCAGCTCGATCCCTGACCCAACCGCGCAACGAAAACCTACAAATTCTAGAGACACCACGAATCCAAACGAAACAACGCCTAGGAGACCAAGCCTATTCGAGAATCGCCATATCTCGAGAAACTCAAATTCTGGTAAATGACGCCATTGTCCACTTTTCATATGCCAAGACTAGCTAACTCGGGGCTGTTGTTGAAGAGGATATTGTTCTCGGGCCTCCCAAAACTGCTTTCGCATCTGCATCTCGCATACCGGGTAGCAAAGGCTCGATAGATTTCACGGACCGTCCCTCCCGTCAGGTCGAGTCTGATGAGGCATCAAACGAGCGCTTCAATCTGCGAGACAAGTTCTTCAAGGACAGGGAAACCGGAGATAGAGAATTTGATCGCCGTGATGGTAAACCAACGCCGTTCAACGGTCGTCGTGGGGAAAGAGAAGAATGGAACAACGGACGGCCGCGTCGTACTTTTGGCCAAGAGGATCAAGACAGAAAGCCCAGACGCAATGTAGAATTCGACCGTTGGAACCGTGATCAGAGGGAGCAGAATCCTGAGCGAGGAGTGAGCGAGAAAGAAGCTCAATTTACCCCTCGGAAAGATGGTACGCCGGGTCGAGCCAGGCATGAAGGAAGCTGGTTTCGCAATGACAACGCCCAAGACGGACCAGAGACAGAAGACGAGAAACTTTCAGTGCGGAACAGAGATTGGCGTCGAGATAGACATGGTGCAGATCGCGACTGGAATCGGGGAGCCAAATTTGAACAGGATCCTGAGTGGATGGACACGAATGACAGAGACGAGTCGCGTAAGGTGCATACGCAAGAAGATTTTGAGCGCTGGAAAGAGCGAATGAAGGCTGGCTCCTCGCAAGCACAAATGGAGGAGAAGAAAGAGGCTCCCTCCGAATCGGTTGCCAGCAGACCAGCGCAGCCTGCGCAGCCCGCGCAACCCGAACACCGACCCACGGATGGCGAAATATTCAGCAGCAACGGGGCGACTCTCCAGTCGGATTCAGCGATGGAGCGTTTCTTTGGACTTCTAGGTGATGCAAAACCCGCTCAGGAGGTCGTCACACCCGCCTCCATCGAAATACCTAGCAAGAAAGAGCCAGCACCTGGAAAGCCTGGAAAGTCGTCTCGATTCGCCGGGTTGTTTAGTCCGCCTCCAGGAAGCCCAGCGAAGGAATCGGAGCACCAATTTGGAACCAGATCACCAGCTCCCCCGCCTTCAACCAATGATGCGGATCAGGAAGGGTTCCAGCGCATCTTACAAATGCTTGGAGGAAGCAAATCGCGCAATGCGACACCCCAAATCGACAGTGCACAGGCCCCTCGCCCAACCATGACGCAAGTCGATTCAGCTCTGAGTGCTCTCTCTTCTCCTTCTAAGGACTCGGTGAAACGGCCAGAATACATGGCGATGCCGGATGCCCATCCTCACAGCACGGCTCCCACAATTCAAGAAAACATGCACGCACACGACTCCCCTTTTAAGGACTCTCAGCCTCGCGACAGAGAGCATCTTCTTCGTTTAATGCAACAGGTTAGGGTGAGTCCGGTCGCTCCACAACCTCACGGACTACACGGTCAACCTCAAAGTGCCGGTCCCGCGCCTGGTCTAATGAATGTGCCGGAAGTATTGTCCCGCCCCCCGGGCATCCCGACCGCTCAGAAAGGACACAATTTCTTGGATGACCCCGCTATTGCCAACATGCAGAGACCAGATGCTGATCAGCTTCGGAGAAGACCTGCCAATGGACCGCCCATGGGTTACTTTGATGAGGTCCCATTTCCCCAAGGCGGTCATATGCCAATCACCCCAGGTGGCTCCAGGCCTCCTCAAGGGCAGGGCCATCCTGGCATGGGTATTCAGCGACCACCGGGCTTTGAGCATCTTCCACCTCCGGGATGGAATGGTCCTCAGATGCCTCCGCAGCAGGGTGGCGGCCCCAGCCCCTTGGTTCCTCCTCCCGGCATTCCAACCCCAACACGAGGTGTCAACCCGAACTTCATGATGCCGCCTATGCATGGCAATGTTCCGCCTCCCAATGAACGCCAGATTTTCCCACGCGGTGCGGGCGGCCCCCTTTTACCAGGGATGATGCCCCCTCCTGGCTACATGAACGTCCCCCCGCCGTCCGCGTTCCCACCTATGCCACATAATAGTGACGCTCTTCTGGGACTTGGTCATGGTGGACAGGGCCCTTTTGAAGGTAACCCCGGTCCACAAGGACCTCCCCCATCCTCCAGACATCTTTTGGACATGTTTGGCCAAGTTGGTCCAGGGCAGTTCCGGTAGACGAGTACGATGCAGACCAACCATGCCTTAAGCGTGCGCAGACTGGAATTCCTGAGATGCCATGATACCCCTTTGCTGGAGCATTTTGAGTTGGTTTTGTTGGTTTGTCTGCAATTTCTTAGCTAACTTATGGTGCTTTTTACCCCTGTTTCACTCCTATGCCTCGCAAAGGGGGTTTTATGGTCTCTCTGGAATGGCTTTGCTCCAACGCTGCGAGGATATTGGTCGAGTATGATTTATGACGAGACGATCGTCCTCTCGACTTCAATCTCTCGAGGATTGTATGTGTCATGGCAATAGTGATCGTGATTGTAATCTACTCCTGCTAGTTAGCTTATGAATCTCGATCAATTACATGGACGGTCAACTCTATCCAAGGTGTTGTGATCTAGGAAATTGCGTAATATCTATCTTTAAGTATGAGGAGTGTCCTTGAGACTGGGTAACTCGTCGCTGTCTGTAGTATCTTCTGCCAGTTGTCAGGTCCATAGTCAAGGACAAACCACCGAGTAGAAAGTGTGTAACAACATGCCTCCATGCTTGAACCCACTAAACTTCTCCCTTCTATGACACTGAATCGCCTGCAATCTGTTTGTCACTAAAGCTATGAAAGAAGTACTTTGAACCCTTTAATTCGCTCTATACCTCAGACAAATTGGCCATATTGTGTGAAGTGCTGCGCTATATCCCAGGGTCCGGACATCGTTACTCCACCCTCTTCTCTCTATACTCATCTTGTCAGCCATGTTCACAAGCTCACATCCTTTCATCTTGTAAATCAGTCCGGGGTTTCTTCTCTATCTCCTCACTGTCAAAGTAAGTACTTCAGGCAGCATTCTGGCTCGAGGACCGGACGCTAGATCGTCCACTTCATCCACACTGATTGAATACACAAGCGCTCTGTTCTTGAATTTTAACCAGTGCTTGTCTGCTCTTTCCTGCTATCATGCCATGTACGGTCCAACAGAACAGTCTTCCCTCGAGTCGGGTAGGTCGCAGCTAGAATATCTCCCGATCCTTTTCAGGCCCGCACACAGCCATCGACTACAGCAGTCACCTCCCCTCAACCCGCAAGAATCCCGACACATAGTACTCTATTCTTTCGTCTTTTAAGCTTAAGATCCTGGAGAACGACAATGTATACTCTGCAGACATGAAACTCTTTCATTATCGAGGACCTTTCCCGCCAACAGCACTAACTTGCCGTTTCTTGCAGTCACCCACGCACACAATGATGGACGAAATAGATTTTGAGCTCTGCTTGAATGTAGACCAAGTTGTGAGTCAATGATATGTATTCATAGTTCAAGACTATGCTGCTAACAAGCAAATGACACAGGCAACTGCCTTCCACCGTGAGAAGAGAAAACGGTACCCTGTACACAATAATATCACCAACTCCATACACAACACGACACCACGAATCCGAACACACAACGAGCTTGGAGACAGCACTGCAGATGAGAGCATGATAACCACTGTTCCACCGGCGAAGCGAGCGAGGATATCGCAATCAGACGCTCCGTACCAGACACAATCCACGAACGCAAGTTACCAGAGCACAGGGCCGCTGCTATATTCTAGTCCGGTCCTCAATAATTATACAGGTTTCTTCAACTTTGAGAGCTATCAGGGAGGTCCTTTCGATGCGAATGACGTCTTGCCTGCTGTGTCTCGCCGAGCTATGAGCGAAGAGATGGACATAGACATGATGTATATGGGGAGTGAAACGGAGACAGAGGCTGAGACAGAGGCGCCTCCTGGGAGGTTCCACGATCAGTGTCCGATCCATTCGTTCGGTACTTGGTCGAATCCGTCTCTTAGTGGAGGGCTTGGAAGCTTCTCTTCGCAGCGCAACAATTCGCCGAGCATATTTCCCATCTACGAGGATTCGATGGATATGGAGATCGAGGGTGTCTTCTGCGGAGAGGATTGGTACTTTTCTCCCGACGAAGACAAGGAAAATGTTGAGAATGGCCATGAGCAGGGTAGTATTTTGCAGGAGATGGATTCGAACTCCGTCGCGGTCCATCAACGGGGCTGATGAATTCATGAGTTACGATGTGGAATGATCTTACGTGGAAGGCAAATGTTGCCATAATGGTATTTTGTTTGATAACCATTATGTTAGATATGCAGATGAGAACTGAAGTAACAATCAAAATTTCATATGCTTGCAATATGTGGAATCCCCAGATAACCAAAGAAAAGACCGATAAATAGCGCCGAATAACCAAGCGAATAATATCCAATAAGCGCATTCCTTTCATCTTGGAGTATTGCGTCTCAAGCACTGAGAACTAAGTCGAAGAGCCAATGCCTGTATCGCGTTCTTTGCCCTTTGGTCCTTTACCCTTGGATCGTTTCGCGTCGCCTTGCTGGTTGCCTTTGGTGCCTTTGTCGCCTTTGTCGGCTTGTTCCCTTTGCGGCGTATCTCGACTCTGATGCCACCGTTTTCTTGCATCTCGACTTCTGCGAACATTTTAAGAAGGTCAATAATCTTGTCTCGTTTCTGCAATGCTTCTTCACCAATGGTGCTGTTGATATTGGCCGACTTCTTCGTTTGTAACTGAAGGATGTAGTCGTCAATCGTGTTCTGGACGATGATTTTGACAACCTCCACCACTTTCTCTTGTCCTATTCTGTACAGTCGACAGAACGCCTGAGATAATCACCCGTTAGAAAGTATATTCAACGATTGTCCCATAAACAAATGCGTACCTGCTGCTGCACGGCTTCGTTCCACCAGAGATCCACAAGGATACACTTATTTGCCATGGACATGTCGAGCCCTGTACCGCCGGCCATGAGGCTTGCAATCATGACTTTCACTTCTCGCTTCTCCCTGAACTCATTCATACTCGAATCGCGGGCTCCAATTGACATCTTTCCCGTCAACTATCTTGATGTTAGTGCGCCCTGAAGACAGCTCATTGAAAATTGAAATCGCAAGGCACTTACACGACAGTGCGCCCAGCCTTCCTTGGTACATATCGAGGAAAAAATCCGAACGAAGTCAAGAAATTGCGTGAAAACGACAACTTTGGCATCTGGATCTTCTCGAACCCAGTTAGCTACTAATTCCCGAACCTTATCAACCTTTGCACCAGGCATTCCCCCTTGAGCGGCTGAAATCCAATCCAGCTCCTCGTCTTCATTCTGCTGTTCATCACCCGTTTGCTTCATTCGTGATCGTTGTGCGGCGGTTGCGAACATCCGACTACCAAACAATCTGCTTGACTTTTTCTGAGAAGATGGTTTGGTCCTTCTAGTGTTGTTCTGAGTCAAACTGGAAGTGACCGACGGCTCATCGAGTATGATACGTTCGGCAGTGCCGCAATATTCAGCCTCCGCGATAGGGTTGTTGCATGTTTGACATGTTGGCTTCCCATCCGCAGAAGTGAGACTATTTTTGAGAATGAAATAGCACTCTTCGCAATACAGATGCATGCAGCTGGTGATGATTGGACCTATTGGAGTTAACTCGCAGTGTGGGCAGCTGGTTCTTCTCAGGCGTTCGTCCCATTGCCCATCCTCGTGAAGCTCCGTAGTGAACTTGTGAAATTGTTTGACAAGCTCTTCTCTGTCTCCGTTAAGCTCATTCCTCGACTGGCTCGGATCTTCGTTATCTGGCGGTGCGGCGGGCAGGGAAACTCCTTTCTTCAAAGTGATAAACCATTTTGTTATCTGGGTTGAAGGATGGTCAGGATCTCTTGTTTCTCTTGCAATTTCGACAAGATCTCTCATAAGAGACGAGTTCAATAGCCCCTTGACAAGATTCTGGGTTGTGAGCGAATGACTAGAGATCATTCTCAGTTTCAAGATCATAGTGAGAAAGCACCGACACTGTGCGAGATACGGATTCGTGTCATCGCTGAGACCTTCACCAAGAGGTTGGTTAATTCATGCACGCGCAAAGCAACAGGTCAATAACACGTACCGTTGATATTTGCAATGAATTGCTCGAGAACCTCGTCGTAAATTCTTCTTTCTACATCACAGAAATCTACCTTGATGACTGACTCCCCGATACCAGGTAACTTGATGATAGGCAACGAGAAGAGTCGACTGGAATGCGTCCGAAGGAGGATATAAGTTCGACATAGATTCCGAAGGCGCTGGTGGACTTCATCACCTTGTCGCATAATTGTTAGAGGTCAATAGAGTAGCAATGAGGGGCCATTTATATACCTCGCAATAGCGTTTCACGAACTGACTGTAATCATTCGTGTCTGGATACTCCAGGAAATCGAAGTGCGGATAGAACTCAGTGATGAAGCTGTAGTCGGCCTATTAGCACTCTGGTATCTCGATGTAAGAAGCAAGAATACTTACTTAGGCACGGGTGTTCCACTCAAAATCCATTTGTGATGGCCAGTGAGAGCACGGACGGCGATTGACGTCGAGGCAAGATGGTTCTTGATCGAATGTCCCTCTGAGTAGACACAGTCAGTTACAAATGAAAGCTTAGCATTTTTCAGAAGCTTACCATCAAGGATGATCCTCAAGAACTTGATCTGATGTAATGGCCCGATCTCTTTGGCGTAGAGTTCCTCCCACATCTCAACGATCTCCTTTTCATCGAGAACCTCACCTCTGCGCTTTAACTGCGGATACGAGCGTCTGACCTCGTCGTATGTCGTAATTCTGATCACCAAATGAGTTAGTCATCTGGGAAGCGTGCCGCAGTATAACTTACATGACACTGAACTTCTGCAGACTTTGAATAACGTCGACGCTACGCATTCTGCTCTGAGCACAGTATATGAGGACGTCACCAACAGCGTCCTTCTCACAATGCTTGACGACTTGGCATTCCCTGTTCATATTATCAGAATACATTTCATGAAACAAAACAGCACCGACAGGTCATACCAGTGCCCGACAAGGTGAGGTGGAACGACGATCAATGTTGTTTTGACGGGGTCGTCTGGGTCAACGCATCTTCCATCAACAATATTGGCTAGAGCGCAACAGTTAACATTTGCCACGCACGGAATTTGGCAAATGCTACTTACCTAGAGCCTGAATAGTTTTGCCATAACCCATAACATCGCAAAGAAAGCCCCCATAGGGCGGACTGGTCGAATTCTCCCGATCACGCTGTTGACATTAGTCGTCTTTCTCAATCTACCCTAGCATTTGCTTACCATCCACGCTACACCGAGGAGCTATGTCACGCGTTAATTTGGATAATCAAAGCATGCTGAAGGTGTTCAAACCTGATGATGGAAGAGACTAGTCTTCATGCCCTTTATCCTCCACCCGCCCTTGCCATCAGATCTTGCTTTATGCCTGAACTTTGTGGTTGCCTCGAGGATTGCTTGCCTGTCGGACTTGGCCTGATCCTGATCGGCAGAAGGGATGCTAGCGACAAGTTCAGCGAGGGCACTTTTCTTGTTTTTGGAATTAGATATTGGAATTGCCGGAAGTCCAGCATTCGCTTGAGCGTCTGCGATAACATCGGGATTGAGAAATGCGTTTAGGTCGAATTCCGGATCAAACAAGTTTTTCTTGCTAACGTCACCGCTAGCTGGAACATCTTCATCGCTGTCGTCTGCTTTCCGCTTTCGAGAGCGTTTCTTTCCGGAACCCTTGTTTCTCGTTACACGTCCTAAGCCAATTTCGAGACCTAACCGCATACTTCTGCGTCTTTCTGCGGCAGAGACCCTATTCTTCTGCTTTCGTGGGCCTTTTGAAGGTCGGTTTGCAGACGGCATATCCGAGCGCCTACCAGTGTCTCCGGGTAATGGTCCAAGTGACGAGTTGAGCAGTTCATCATCAGATAAATCCGGAAAAGTCTCGAGGGTCTGTTCTGCCTCTTCCAGAGCCTTCCGGCTGGCAATTCTCTCCTTGCGCCGAGCCTCTTTCTGCTTTGCTTTTTCATACTGTACTGTGTCCTCGAGAGTCGGGTTCTCAAGGGTATTATACCATGTCTCGATGATATCAAACCTACCACTGTCAGTCAAGTGGGTATCTAAACCGCTATCATGTGGCCTACCCTGTGGAATCTTCTTCCTGGACCTCAGGCCATTCAGACGCGACATTTTCGTCAACCGATCCCTGAATCCCTGTAACCGCAGCCGCGTCAGGAGCCTCGGAGGATTTCGACGATGAGGCCACCACAGGCTGTGGCTCATCCCGATTCATCAGATTCTCAATGACCGTCACACCACTTGGAGATTCAGTCGATACCTTGTCTTGCTCCTGGGACATGGCTGTAAGACCATTGCTTTCGCTCATACTCCCATCTTGGGAAGCTACAAATTGCCGAATTTGCTCAATCTCATTATCGTCAAGGGTATTGTCCGCCGGCTGGCCCACAAAAAGTTGATTGTCGAAAGAAGCAGGTGCTGTGCAAGTTATTGATGGTACAGGAGTCGAGGGAGGTGCTGCCGTATCGTTGGGGAGGGAAGTCGTAGGGACATTTTTCCGTAAAGCCAGAACGCTTCGGGCATGGAGGGCTTTCGATGCGGTTTGCTGTCGACGTGCATCTATATCCTCCAACTGAGAAAGGTCGATATCTAGTTCAGATGGTCCTGGTTCTGGCAACATATTGTCACTGCTTTGTGGAGGATCGAGATCCATGGTTGCGGGTATAAATAGAGTCACAACGTAGGCTATTGGGAATAGACAACTGAGATGACCAAGGAAGGCCGATGATCAGAGGTTACAAAATGGTTTCAACGGCTCTCCTTCTGCGGCAGTTGGAGAAGATAGGTTTCGGAGGAGACAGTCGTTCGTAAGAGGGAATAACGAGAGCTGAGAGGAAGTGTAGCGGAAAGAAGGCGAGTCTGCTGGTATATTGGAGAGCAAGCAAAGAAGATATAAGAATGGAAGATGATCGTCCGAAGTTAGGCTTTTATAGCCTGGAGGCTAGGGAAGATGAGGCCAGTGCGATATGAAAACTGAGCATAAGGGTGAGAAGCGAGTGACAGGAGATGAGACGAGAGAATTGAGAGATATACTGCAGGAAGAAGTGACATCTAAGTAGATAACTGGTTTCAACTTAATCTGGGTTCAAGGAGGTGATGGGGTAAGTACCAGACTAGGAATATGAAAGAAAGAGAAGCAAGGTATAAGCTCGAGATGTGCTGGGAGCGTTAGGTCGGATTAGGGCAAATGGTGAGGTCAAGATGATAGCTGGAAGTAGAGATGTCTATAGAGAACGACTTGAAAAAAGCGACCTCGTAGAAACGTCCCGAAAGTGAGATCAAGGGAAGATAAGGCAGTTGGAATGTGATGACAAGCCTCAACGAAGAAGCGTGCCTGCTTAATAAAACGGATGTGATTTGTTACCCGAGGGCATGTAGAGAATGGCAGATTTGAATCCGATGTAGTATTGGAGAAATGATAAGAACGACCAGTAGACCATACGCCTTAAATCAATCTAATACCGAATATCAACAGCAATCCCAGCCGAAAGTGAGAGAAAATCGAATAGTGGAGAAAACAAACAGGTATCATCACTCATGACCATTTGCTCCATAGGTATGCCCGACATATATATGATAATCCTTGACCCTGAAATTGAAGAAGAGAATGCTACCGCTTAAGCCTCCTCGTAGGCACAGTTAGGATGCAGCACATAGACTGTCCGTTGAACTTGCTCTTGCGGATCCCCATCAGCATCCACCAGACCCTCTCCTCGGATTGGCATGAGGATATTTTCCTGTTGTGCCGAAAATAGTCAGTAAAACAAGCGGTGACAAAGACACTTGCTGTGGGTGAAGGACGAACCTTGACCATCCTTTTCAAAACTTTTCCAGCCAGGTCGCGCTCACGCTGTAGGTCTTCCTCGTTGTTCAGCTCAGACTCAATTTGCTCCAGGTACCAGACAATCAGATCTTCTTGCTCGACACCTTCGCCCGACCTCGATTCGTCCTCACTCACGCGGCGAACAAACAGATTCAGGATCTTCATGTACTTGTCATATGTGATCTTCGTCTTCTGACGCGGTTGTGCTTCCGCATGATCACGCATGGGACTGTCACCTTCCCTGTCCCGATCAGCCATCTCGTGATCCTCTTCACCAGCGCCTGCATTCGCATGAGTGCCTTCGTCGTCGTCAACTTCAACATCATCCTTCTCGACGGTGACGATACTCTGGCGTAGGAGGTCATAGGCCTCCCGTACAAAGCTCGGTACGATCTCCTCTACACAGTTGGCCTTGGCGACAGCCTCGGAGAGACGAACCAAAGACTCGAGTTGACGGACTGTGATCCGATATGAGGAGCGGCCAATGCCTCCTTGAGCGTCGTTTGCTCGCAGCTCTTTGTACTTCTCAACAAGCAAAGCCTTAGCTTCTTCGGTGAACACGGGTCTGAAGGTTCGCGCAAACCGAATGTAGCGTTGCAATTGCTCCGTGCTCAGTTCTGGCTGGACGGCCTCATCACGGTTCATGTGCACGTTGACGATGTGGTCAGCCAAATTACGATCCACCGTTTCATTCGGCTCATCTCGAATCACAAAGAACAAGTCGAATCTGCTCATGATAGGAGCACTGAAGTTGAGATTTGCGCGCAATGTAGCCTTCGGGTTATAACGACCACCAACAGGATTAGCAGCTGCAAGAATCGACGCACGAGCATTAAGTGTAGTATGAATGCCCGCTTTAGCAATAGAGATAGTTTGTTGTTCCATTGCTTCGTGGATGGCAACTTGATCGCTGATGTCCATCTTGTCAAATTCGTCGATAGCACAGATACCCCCTCCGTTCTGTGTGTGTCATTGAGTCAGCATAGAAATAGCGTGTGGACAGCGGGGCGCGACGTACAGCAAGCATCAGAGCACCGGCTTCAATAGTAAATTCACCAGTCTCGGCATCTTTGACGACAGATGCGGTCAGACCGGCTGCAGATGATGCCTTGCCACTAGTATAGACAGCGCGAGGATGCAAAGAACAAATGTACCTGGAAAGAACAGGTCAGAACCTCCAAAATCGCACAAAGAGCGCGTTGGCATGGCTGAAAGCTTACTTCAAGAACTGACTCTTGCTTGTTGAGGGATCACCAACAATGCAAATATTGATATCACCACGCAATTGCATGTTCTCCTGTTCCGTATGTTTGCTGACACCTCCAATCAATTGCAGAAGCAACCCCTTCTTGATCTGCCGGTGACCGTAAATCATAGGGGCGATTGAATCCACCAATCGAGAGTAGATATACTCTGAGTGAACCAGATTCTTCAAGTCCTGCACTTCGTATGGTGTGAAACTCTGAAGGAGAGCCTCCTGGGCTTTGTCCTCGTCGACTTCTGGTTCATTGTTTTGGTTCAATGAAGCCAGGATGTTGTGGGATTGGCCGTTCAACTGCTGATTCGACTGCTGGCCAGGAGTTGTTGTGTCAGGCGTGACCATACAGGCAAGGAACGCCAGTCGATAAGTCAAGTCTCTGACACCCAGTGACTTGAGACCAGTGACACCTCCTCCACCGACGTCGCCACTCCGGAAAGCACCGTTATCGCGAACAGCCTCCGGTCGTACGCCTGGAAGTCCCAGTTGACTGACATCAGGAATTACGATCAGTGTACCGGTGAAGATGCAACGTTCACCAGCCTTGGCACGGTCGACCATCTCACCACGCAAGATCACATCCATGGTGCGGGGCATGCTCCCAGTTGGAATTTCGTGCGATGACTCCTGCAGTTTCACCTTTTGCCAGTCAACGAATGTGCTCTTCCCAATATCCAGGCGCCATCCAGAGCGGTTCATGCAAATGTCGTTTGGGCACTGTGTTGGCTCGGTGTAGCGGAAGGTCTGTTCTACATTCGAGACAACTGATTTGCACTGCTCACAAACGAAGGTCCCAAGAGAGAGCTCAGGCCGGATCTCTGATGTCCGAGTAACGGTACCGGAGATAGAGAGCAGCTTTCCAATTTGGGAGGTACGGAGTTGGCGCAGTCTAGAGACCAAGGGCAGGTTGTAGAACGCCAAAGAAAACAGCTTGTCAGTCTGCTGATGGCGGGTTTTCTCGCGCATATTCCGCTCCAAGTCAGGGTTTTCGGTCACGCTTGCATTGGCGGCCATCATGGATGAGCTAGCCTGGGAGGAGACACTGCTGGCTTGACGATGAGAGACGAAGTATTCGGGTTCATATTTCGCAATTAAATTGTGAAGGGCTCTTGTTAGGAAGGGTTGGAATCGAAAGTATTGGTTGGCAATCGCATCCGCCAGAATCTGGTTATTGAGAGAAGTCAAGTGGGTAAAATCGACATAGAGGGTAGAAAGCTCGAATTTCTTCATGCCGTGGATTTGTGCGATATAATATTTGTCACTCAGTATCTCCGACGACGGTGGAGGCGCCGACAATGACGGTTCCTCCACATAGGTCTCGAGCAGTTCCTCAAAGGCCTGCTGTACTTTCTCCCCAGCCAAATCGACCACTGGGGGAGGCCCAGGAAGATAGGGATTGCGAAGTCGGCTCACAGTCGACCGGCTAGGGTTGACGACTTGGTCATCGGGGAAACCGCCATGTATCTCGCTCAGCGGGCCATTGCTCTCGGATGGCGGTTGCGGCCGAGAGCTGGGGAGGTGGTCTGAATGGAGCCTATTGTCACGGGAGCCAGCTGTCGACCCCAATTCAGATTGAAGTACGGCGTCAAAAAGGGAGGACATTTTGGGCGAGGGCGGACGGCCAGAACAGGGCCGCTATGGGTAGCACAATTGCGCAAATCGAGAAACAATTGAATATTGTTATTCGATTGAATAGTTATTTGAGAGACAAGTCTTTTTCAGTATCGTGACGTTGAGCAAGGCGTCCGATGAAAGCGTTGATAGCGTCAACAATAATCCCCCTCGGACTCGTAACTTTCTTCTCTCAGAGATGCGCGTCTAGGACGCGACGCGTAGCGGAGAAATAGATAATGCGATACTGTCGCGTAAAGTGGTTTTTGTATGCTTACATCAGCAGCTGTGCACGGATCTCTGACACAGCAGACTTATCTGTTGCCTATTCGGGTAATAGGTCCTGACGACGACTCGGCCATAACCGTGGCGGATCCCAGCAGTTGGCATCCTTCGGCCAATAGTGCATCAGAACACCAATTATTTCGGCTTTTGACATTCTGACGAGCCAATCGAAATGTCGTCTCAGAATCAACTTGACTTTTTGGGGTTGGACTATCGGGGCTCTTCGTTGACCCTAGTCCCCTCTTACGACCCACTGCCCTGCTGGTCTCTCGACTCCTCTTAGTCTCCTCGTCCATCATAAGAACGGGCAAGTCGGGGTCGACCCTTATCGTCGGGAGCTGATCATCGCCAGGTCGTCCCTATCCTCGACGACGACTTAATCGCCAAGCTTATGACATCGCCTGAAATCTCGGAAGCTGTGGTTATGGGTTGACTTCTTTTAACATTACTGTTTCGTGCTGACGGTATCCCGGCGAATCGCACAAACCGCTATGCAGTCATAACATAATCCTTGCTTGTTAAGTACGTCAGTCGTCGAAAGAGTCTACTGCCACCTGCTAGCTCGTGATGGCTGCACCCAGGCACGCTCTGCCCAATCTGTCGCAGTTCGCACCTCGAACTGGAGTAATTGACACCTCATGCGAAAGCCAGCCAAGTCAGTGCACCCCTCCAACTACAGATTTTGCTCGAAGTCTTCCAAGCTAGCTGACCCTGGCTTTGCCGTTGACAGTTCGCTCCAACGATGGGCTACAACCTACGAAATCAAAGAGGCGGAGGCGTCTCTCGACAACAGAAGATCAGCCCGCGAAAGACAGGATATTCTTTTTTGTCGATTCGAATTCTTCATCGCGGGAAAAGCGGGCGTATGTCATGCGTCACCACGTCCAGGAAAAGCGAAGGCAGCGCAAACATTTACACCCCCACAACTCAGACGATAGAAGGAATAACCGACCCCTCCGGTATCTTCCATGGAAGCAGACGACGAACGAAAAGGACGACCTCGACGGGACCGGTGCAGTTGGAGGAACTGAAAGTGAGACGGTGTCTCACAGTAACGCCTTGGTACGTGGTCATCACTCTGAGTTGATTGAGCGGATCGTGCGTGATGTACAATGTTCCCATTCGAGGAATTCTCCACACGATGTGTGTGTTGGTCTTTACAAACGAAAACGAGGACGCTAACGTGGGATGTCTAGATTCAGACACGCTTTCCCATGCCTAGATCCGTAGTCAGTGCGTCTAGCACACCACTTCTTACGTCGCCCGTTGCCTCGCTTGATGCATCCCGTCAAGACCCTTTCCACAGTCTACCGATGGTCTGCTCAAAAGAAGATCTTGAGCTGATTGATTGTTGGACAAACAAACTCACATATTGGTCTGGTCAAAATAAGTACATTAAGGACCAAATTTTCCGCTCTGCCATGGTTCACCAATTACCTTTCCAAGCGGTCGTACTTGGCTATTGTTCCCGATGGAAGGCTCATATTCACAATTTGACGGATAGCCGACAAGTTCAAACTCATATTGGACAAGCCACGCGAAACATAGAAATGATCAGAAAAGGGGTGGTGGATATTGACGGAGACAATCTCGCCATGGCATTAACAGGATTGTCGCTGCAAGAAGAAAGATTCGGTAGCCAGCAAAGGGCCCGAGAATATGCTGACCAGGCTGTCCAGATTCTTCGATCCCAGGGCGGGACTCGCAAAGGTGTCCAGGTATTCTTGCATTATGTGCTATATGTCGCGATATCTCCACATCCAACCGTCGACAAAGTCGGTCAACGGTGGCTGGTCACGTTTCTTCGCGCGGCCGAGGAAATGATGCATAAACACACATCAGCTGCGTGCCTGTCGTCTGTGCCCCTGCGACGGGAGGCATTTCAAATGGATGGCTTATTGTTCCCTTTGCTTTCCAGCGGGCCACGCCCATCACAAGTGCCGCACACTTCGCGCCTATACGTGGTGCGGGATACGCCCAGCCAGGAAATCTGCCGTACTGCGGCACTCATCTATATTACAACAGCTTTATGGGATTTCCAAGACTCGCCGAGTAAAATGAATCGCTTCCTCAACTACGTTATCACGGTCGTGAAGCAACACCAGCTTGATCGTCATCCTGCATGCGAGACTCTGGTGTGGGTCTTATTGGAAGAAGGATACGAAGCAGATATGAGGGATCCCGAACGAGCATGGTCTACCGGCGAGCTATTGAAGACACACAAGCAACTTCGGCCAGATCTACAATTCCAGTTCAATGAAATATTACTGAGCCTGTTAATGCTCGCGCCGCCCGTGCGCGGTATTGATGCTTTTGAGGAGGAGCTCAACGCCGCTGCACCTGAAATTGTGGAGCAGCTTTGAGACGCTGCATGGGATTTGTTGACGGAGCGGCTGGCCTTTGGTGATCTGACCTTACCGTTTTCCTAGTATATACTTTTCTAGATATGAAGTTTTCCTTGCCTGGGGAGTCTCCGGCTTGCAGGCAGCCGTGCTCATCCCATTTTGCCAATTTAACGACTTGAACAATTGCTCGGACTGTCTTTCCATTCTTAAATTTGATTCTATGTATTTTGATATCGTGCAAGCTATATTTACAAGCCAGTGCTGCTGCGCCACACACCTATGTTTCTAACCCGGCAATGCAAGGTTTGCTCGAAGAGGTACTCCGTACAATGTGCAAGTCATCAGAATCTCCGAACAATGCTGCATGGAGTAACGAATTCCGCATGCCACATGTTGATCCTTGGGCCACCTCGTAGGCGTAGTACTTCTACGTTGCGCGAACCACAAAAGACACAAGAGGGGGGAGTATCAATTGGTGTAAGCGTCATCGATTTCTGATCAGTTCTGCAGACTGTAGATCATACTACTATCCAGGCATCCACCGAGTGCTCCATTTGGCTGTGACTAATCTCCATAGATCGTGCTGCAGAACGGACCATGGGTGGTTAGGTGGAGAAATCTCGTGGACCGAAGACCGAAGTACACCTTTACCAGGTGAAGATTCTCTGAGGCTGGTGGTCATGCAGTTTTTGCGGCAAATTTCGACGGGGTGCATGAAGATCGTTAGTACTTTGCGAAAGGTTCCCTTGGAATATGCAGAGGGTGCTTCTAGGGAACTTTGATCTGTGCTCTGTACATAACTTGATTCCGATTCTGGGATAAGAATCGAAGATTAGTGGGCACATATCACACCGCATAATGTATGGAGTATGCAGTAGGCTAGTAGATAACTCATTGAATATGTTAAAACTGTGGCTGGTGAGACTAAATGCTGTTCTGGTAACTGGTCCCTCAGTACTCGGAGTGAGTGGGTTAGGCGGGCTCAGGCATTCCTTTGCCGCTTTAGGACATCGCGATACGTACCTTACCGTCCTGCATGTTACATCCCTGCTCCCTCCAGTTCTGCTAAGGTACTGAAACAATAATGATGATGATACAGTCATGACGTGAAACCAGTCCGCCGCTCATCATACGATTTGATCTGTCGGAGATCATACCTGGTCCTCAAAGTCGAAAGCGGAATTTGACTTTGCCCCTTGAATGTGGGGAGACGATCAAAATGGCTGTAGTACTTCGTAATTTATGTAGCATTTGTTCCTGAACAGTTAGGTACAGTGAGGTACAGTGAGGTACTCTGTACAATACTCCATACTCATGATAGGTATGTGGTACCCGACCTAGGAAGGTTTAAGGAGCTGAGCTGGTGGTCGCAAAAATTTGCCACAGATTGAATTCATCACGACGCAAGTGGGGCGCATTTCCAGATCTAGTGGAGCCAGGTCATCAGCCCAGACAGACATTGGCCAATGTACATGCAGCAGTGGTGTTCGACCAAGCCGATAGAGTACTAGCGCTAGCGAAGTAAAATATGTCATCAGCTGGGCACTATTGGAGCTAGTTTTGTTAGTGAACCACGTTGCGACTGGGGAATTTGCTGCTCAACAGCTCAAGGAATTACGAAGAAAAAGCAAGGCACTTACGAGGGCAGATAGAGTCATATTGCAATATCATTATTAGACAGGACGGAGCGATAGTTATGTGTGGACCTGATAAGTAAATTATGTCATGCTAGGTGGCTGCAAGCTGTAAGTAGAGGTTTTGGTTTCAGCTAGTGAGCTAGCGAGTGTAAACAAAGTCCCATGCTACCTAGGAAATGAATTTGCCTTATCGTCATCATCGATTCGTCCTGACGTCCCAAAGACCAGGTCTTTCTCCAGTGTGGCTCAAATACTGGAATTTGGGGCGGATCTACCTTACCTATCTCGTGCTTTCGCTACAAAGGAAGTTTCACTGCATTCGACTTCGGCTTTTCGCTCCTCATTATTTTAGCAGTGCACACTATTGAGAGCCGGGAGATTCCAAATCTCTTCATTCCTCGTACATCAATTGGCGTGCATGGCATGTGCAAGCTGAATCCTCCGAGCCTTTGAGTGGTCCGACATCCTTTTCTTTTTCCGACCCAAATAAACTTCGCGTGGAGAGCTCTCCAACGTCAAGCTGTTGCTGAGCGTATCGCTCGCCCCTCGTCCCCTTAAGATTCGGTTCCTTGGTCTTTTGTCTGTCGCTTGACCCTTATCTACTAGTCCTAATTTCTTTTTCACGGGCCTTTCGCCCGAGAGTCTTTCTTTTTTTTCTTTCTTCCTCTATCTAGCATTTCTCTGTTGATTCTCGCTGCGTGGCTCGATCCTTCTGCACAGCCAGCTCGTCGCTCCCTATTGCATCTTGGGTGCTTGGAACTTCCAGACAGCTCCCGACTTTTTGACCGCTAAAAGCGCAAACTAGGTCGACTCGGCAATTCCTCCCCTAAGCGCTGGGGAGTGAGTCGACAGGGTCGAAATGGCCTTCTACGGCGATATGGCTGGTCTGCACCAGTTGTCGCGCCGTGCGGTAAGTACCAGGAGCTGCGATGGACTGCGATGGCAATCCACCTTGGGTTTTAACGGAACACTGACGAGCGCCCTCTAGGATGAGGACCCCGAAAATGCATCCAACTCGGCTTCTAGCTTGTTGTCCACTTTGGTTCCTGCCCTAGTGGTAGCTGGCATCATGGTCTTGGTCTTCGTGATTCTGCGGCGAAGCGAACGTCGCATGTACATGCCCCGAACCTATCTCGGCTTTATGCGCCCTGAGGAACGCAGTCCCCCCGTCGGCACTGGCCTGTGGAATTGGATTATCGATATGTACAAGTTACCCGACGAATACGTTTTGCAACATCATTCTATGGACGCCTATCTTCTGCTTCGCTTCCTGAAGTTGATTTCAGTCATTTGCTTTGTCGGCTGCTTGATAACCTGGCCCATATTGTTTCCTGTCAATGCCACAGGTGGAGGTCACAAAGAGCAATTGGATATCTTGACCATGTCCAACATTGCACAGGATAAAAACGCTCGCTACTATGCCCACGCCTTCATGGCTTGGATCTTCGTCGGTCAGTAAACACTGCGCAATGGTATTTCACTCTCCCTTTTTCTCGAGGTCTGATTGAATGGCAGGATTCGTGTTCATGACTGTCACCCGCGAGAGCATTTTCTATATCAACCTGCGCCAGGCGTATTCCCTCTCTCCCGCCTACGCCAGCCGACTCTCATCGCGAACCGTTCTTTTCACAGCTGTGACTGAAGACTATCTCAACCGTGACAAGATCCGGAAAATGTTCGGCATTGAAAAGGTGAAGAACGTTTGGATCGCTACTGACGTCAAGGAGCTAGAGGACAAGGTCAAGGAACGGGATGCTGCCGCCATGAAATTGGAAGCCGCCGAAACAAAACTGATTAAGCTTGCAAACGCTGCGCGAGCCAAGGCCTTGAAGAAAAGGGGAAATCCCGAGGATGATGCTGTGCCACTTGAGAACTTGTCTGATGAGCCAGATGACGAATCGGGCTCTGTGGCAGCTCGCTGGGTCAAGGCTTCCGAGAGACCCACGCACCGCCTGAAATTCCTTATCGGAAAGAAAGTCGATACGATCAACTGGGCCAGGTCAGAGATTGAGCGGCTCAGCCCCGAAATCGAAGAGCTCCAGGCTAAGCACCGTGCGGGCGATGCCAAGCTGGTTTCATCCGTCTTTGTCGAATTCTACGCTCAAGCGGACGCGCAACTTGCGTTCCAGTCGGGTATGTCAGGCTTCGGGTTTTGATTCCACGAACGTTTAGGTGATCGTCAGTGCTAACTAGCAGATGTGGTCAGTCGCTCATAATCTACCTCTGCACATGGCCCCTCGTTACATTGGTCTAGACCCTACACAGGTTCTCTGGTCGAACTTGCGCATCAAATGGTGGGAGCGCATCATCCGTTACTCTGCCACAATTGGATTTGTCTGCACTCTCATCGTCTTCTGGGCAATCCCAGTCGCTGTTGTCGGTTCTATATCGAACATCGATTCTCTAACGGACAAGGTCCCCTTTCTCAAATTCATCGACGATGTCCCCAGCTGGATCAAGGGTGTCATCACTGGTCTTTTGCCCACTGTTTTGATGTCTGTGCTCATGGCTCTATTGCCCATTATTCTGCGATGTAAGCCGGGTCTTCCCAAAGCCAACGTGACAGAGCTGTACTGATCGTGCGTTTCAGTGATGGCCAAGCTCGGTGGCGCCCCCAGCGCGGCAGCTGTTGAGCTGACTACACAGAATTTCTACTTCGCTTTTCAAGTCGTTCAAGTCTTCCTGGTTGTGACCTTGGCTTCCTCGGCGGCTAGCGTGGTCACCAAGGTCATCCAGCAGCCTACTTCTGCTCCTCAGCTCCTCGCAACGAGAATCCCCAAGGTTTCCAACTTCTACATTTCCTATATCGTTCTGCAGGGTCTTTCTTTCAGTTCCGGTGCCCTGCTTCAGATCACCGGCCTGATCTTGGGCAAGATTCTGGGCAAATTGCTGGACACTACCCCGCGAAAGATGTACAACCGCTGGTCGTCCCTCGCCGGTTTGGGCTGGGGAACCGTATATCCTCCCTTGACCCTTCTTGCAGTCATCGGTAAGGCTTCGTACTTATTGATATCATATTGGTTCCCTGCAGCTAACGATGTCGTCCCGTTGGGAATAGCTATCACCTACTCGTGTATCGCTCCGCTGGTGCTTGGTTTCGCGACCATTGGTCTGTACCTGTTCTATTTCGCCTACCGGTACAACATGCTCTACGTGTCCAATGCCAATATAGACACTCAGGGCAAGGCTTACGCTCGCGCCCTGCAGCACATTACTGTGGGTTGTTACTTGCTTGTGGTCTGCTTGATCGGCTTATTTGCCATCGGAACTGCAGCCAACCGGATGGCACTGGGCCCCTTGATCTTGATGATTATCTTCCTTGTCTTCGTGATTCTTTACCACATTTCTTTACATAACGCTCTCTCTCCTTTGATTAACTAT